CAGGGTTATTTGAAAATTAAATAACCCTGGGAAGGAGCCTGTAAAATTCCTACCTCAGTGCTCCCTAGAGTCTCATTGGACATCTGTTTTATGCTTGGTCCTAAGACTGTGAATTTTACATGAACTATCTCATTTAATTCTCACAACAACTTCATGAAATCACTAATGTTTACTCCTATATTTTATTCACACTCAGATAAAACTTAGGTGGGATCTGAAAGTGTGCAAATGGCTAAGCTTTGCGCTGTAAGTGGCATTTTTACAAATATATATATTTTATTGATTTTTTTACAGAGAAGAAAGGAGAGGGATAGAGAGTTAGAAACATCGATGAGAGAGAGACATCGATCACCTGCCTCCTGCACACACCCTACTGGGGATGTGCCCGCAACCAAGGTACATGTCCTTGACCGGAATCGAACCCGGGACCTTTCAGTCCGCAGGCCGACGCTCTATCCACTGAACCAAACCAGTTTCGGCTGAAATAACCAATTATAAAAAGACATTTTTCAGACAATTGAGACTAAGTGTGAAAGACATCAGGGAATTATTCTTAATTTTGTTAAGTGTGCTGATGGTTTTGTGGTCTCACCCAAGAGTATTCTCACCTTTTTGGGAAGTAAGCTTAAGTATTTTATTTATTTATTTTTTAAAATATATTTTTTATTGTTGATAGTTTTCAAGTATTTATGTATGTATTTATTTATTTATTTATTTTTTGTTAATCTTCACCCCAGGATATTTTCCCACTGATTTTTAGAGAGTGGAAAGGAGGGGGAGAGACAGAGAAAGAGAGAAAAACATCAATTGGTTGCCTCCTGCATACACCCTGATCAGGACTGGGCATCAAGCCCCCAAATTGAGGCACATACCCTTGACCAGAATCAAACCCAGGACCCTTCAGTCCGTGGGCTAATGTTTTATTTTTTTTAAATATATTTTATTGATATCTTACAGAAAGGAAGAGAGAGGGATAGAGAGTTAGAAACATCGATGAGAGAGAATCATCAATTAGCTGCCCCTATCGGTGATGTGCCCGCAACCAAGGTACATGCCCTTGACCGGAATCGAACCCGGGACCTTTCAGTCCGCAGGCCAACACTCTATCCACTGAGCCAAACTGGTCTCGGCCGTGGGCTAATGTTTTAAATAACCACTGAGCCAAACTGACTAGGGCTAAGCTCAAGTATTTAAATATGAGTTCTAATGTCTAATTTTGAAATGGTTCCACAAAAATAAGTGTTTTTTATTTTATTTTATTGTTGTTGTTTTTAATGAGAAACCTTTAAACATTAGTATGACTGCAGGCAAAGCTGCAAATCCATTCTCTCAGCAAGATGTGTGTTCTGGAGAGGAACAGAATAAAAAAGCTGAATGAAGACCTGATGTCTCCGAGGTTATAGCTCATTTGAAAAGGATTTCTTCATTTTTTGTCTGCAAATTTCCAAAACACTTATAGCCATGATTAAATGCTTTAAAGATATGGTATGACTTAAAAAAAAATTTCTATTCCTATATATGAAAGACCACTTTCAATATTTTGTTGGTGGTCTTTACTTTTTAAATTATATTTTTTAAAATGTGTAGAATTGTTAATCTTAACATACATTTCTAACTGGAGTGGATCAAAGAAGAGTCAATGTAGCTGTTATATAAAAACTAATTTTTAGGACCATCAGTGAATAGAACAGATAAGCTTTCCTGAATTACTATATATTTATCAGAGAGGTTTAAATTGACATGGAGAAAAAACATTAGAAGACAAAACATTTTTTTAAATTAAGCATAATTTTACCAGTGGTTAAGATTCTGATTTGTTATATTCTGAAGCAAAATATAACAGCTATTTAAAAAAAAAAAAATAGGTGCACTATCAAGAAAATCTATTTTGCCTATGGCACAAATATAACTCCCCTAGGTCTCCAGTTTATTGTTATCAATTCTCTTTTTAAGCAACAAAACTTGCCTATTTTCAAAAATATCTGAGAGACCTCAAACATGAAACCATTAGAAGAGAAAGCAGAAGATCACCATTTATAGAGGAATACAAAAGTCTAGCAAGAAACATAGGCCAACATGGCTACCCTGATCAAGCAATAATTTTGGCTCTGAGCTTCCAGACAGTAGTAGCAAAAAGAAAAAGCAATCATAGCAAGCCCTGTAACTCAAACTGAAACCTTCTTTCTGGTACTAATATTTTTTTTTACAATTTTTTTCAGATGGGTCATAACATAAGAACATCAAACAATATAATAGTGTCCACAAATGCCAGTTGATATTATAGAACGTGCAGCCTACTCTCTAAGCAGGCATTTCACGTCTCATGCCAAGGTTACTACATTAAAAGTAATCCCGAGGAAGCTGTGCAGTGGGCTGAGGGGCCACAGCTTTCTGATTTTCTGAAACCAGAACGTGTACGCAAAGCAGCCATTGTCTCAGCCAGGCAGGCTTCTGACAGCAGTGGGGGCAGCCAGTCCTCCCTGCTGAACTGCTCTGAAAGCCTGGGACAGAGGTATTTATTTCTTGCTGGTTGGTGATCAAACTCGAAGTCCTTTTGCTTTGGATACCAGATGGCATGCTGCCGTGAAAGGGGAGAAGCCAGGCCGGTATTCACAAGGGATGGAGCCAAAGAACCTAATCTAGGGCGGTTGGGTCAATCTTTGGGAAATCCCGAAGCCCAGAGCAGGGCTGCTATTGCTATCTGTGTGTGTGTGTGTGTGTGTGTGTGTGTGTGTGTGTGTGTGCAGGGACAAAGGAGGACCCACACCAATACCTACGACTAACCAAGCCCTGAAGGGGTTAAGGCCCAGCAGCATATAACTCTCCTCCATTATTTCAGCCTAGAAACACCCCCCCCCACCCTTTTCCCATTTCTACGAAGGCCAAGCAACATGTTTAAAACAGAAGGGCCGGCAGAGGTACAGTGGGATGGCCACAACCTATATACACTAGGCGGGATCCTCTCCGGCTAAGGCTGTGTCCGGCAGAGCAGGGGTTACTGCCATCAAAGCTCCCTGGGGACCCCCAGGAAAGGAAATTCCCTTTCCCCAAGGCTAGCCCTCCCAGCACCCCCTCCCTCCGGGCCTGGCAACAGCAGAAGCAGAAGGATACAGGGGCGTTTAAAAAGTAGGGGAAGGAGGGGGTAAGGGAGAGAAATCAACCAAAGGACTTGTGTGCATGCATATGGGCCTAGCCAGTGGCCGTGGATAACAGGGGGGTGGGGGCATCTGTAGGGAGGGGTTTGGGATGGGAATGGGGGGATGAGGACAATTATGTGATACCATAATCAATAAAAAAATAAAATAAAATAAAATAAAATCATAAAATTAAAAATTAAAAAAAGGAGTAGGTTCTTAGAGTGGAGCACAGCCTTCTGTCACCTGCCTAAGCAGGAGAAGCCTTCTCTCCCCAAGCCCTGAGTCACTTCCCCTCTCTGCACCCAGCCTCAGTGCTCCAGGAGGCAAGAGACCCGGGCTCCGGAGCTGTCTACCCCGCAGGCCCCACGCCCCCAGAGACACCCCCGGGGCCCCCTCCAGGGGCAGTTTCCGCGGCTTCGCCCGGGGTCTCTGCGCCGGAGCCGGCGCCGCCACTACCTCTGGCTGACATGGCAGGCGGCTCTGAATGAAAGCAGCCCAGGCTGGCTCCGGATTTATGAATGTGCAGGGGAGGAGGAGGGGAGGGCGATCATGTGACAATAAAGGAGAACGTCTTATTCACAAAAAAAGAAAGAAAAAGGAAAAAAATAGGAGGGAAAAAAAAGTGGCTGGTGGCGGGCACAGCCGCTGAGTAAGTAGTGGCGGCCGCTGTGCGGTGACCGTTCGGACCCGAGGCCGGCGACCTCCGGCGCCGGGCCCAGCGGCCTAGCCTGCGTCGCACCCGCCACGGGAACGGCCTCCGGCGGGACTGGGGGAAAGAATCAAACCCTCAAACCCGACTCTGCGGCCGGAAGGCTGCAGGGAGCTGCACCTGGGCCGGGGCCTGGGGAACTGCGTGCGTCCTCGGGGTGCGGGCGGGGGGGGGGGGGGGGGCTTTGGGCGATGGGTCCGACAGGGAGCCCCCGGGGCGGGGCGCCCCGAGCATTGTTACCCTCGGAGCACGCACCCGGATGCAGAGGCGCACACATAGATCCCCCCCCCACCTTGTCTGTCCCCACCCCCCCCCACACACACACATACACGCTCCGGCCCGCACTGCCCTGCCCCGCAGGACCCGCCCGCACCCGCCGCGCACGCCTCGGACCCGCCCCCCGAGCTCCGGGACCCCGCGGGGCGCGGGTCCCTGGCACCCGGCGCGCACACAACCACCCCCCCGCGCGCGCCCCGGCCCCGCGCGCGCCCCCGGCCCGCCTGCCGGCCAGCCGGCGCGAGGACGCGGGCGCACGCAGACCCCCCGCACCCGGGGCTCCCCTCGCTCGGCCGCGTTTTTTATGAATGAAAATGTGGTATGCAAATGAGGGCGATTCAAGAAAAACGAAATGGCGGAGCCTGGGCCCCGGAGGGCTCCCAGCGACAGGACCGCAGGGCGAGCAGCCGGGCGCGGGAGAATCACCAAGTCACCCAAATAGAAACCCACCCGCCGACCCCGGGACACCGAAGCGGGGGGGTGTCAGGTCTCCCGCTCCGGCCGCCGAGGAGGGTTTCGGGGTGGTGATGGTGGTGGTGGTGGGGGGGAATGTGTGTAACTCCCCGGAGAGGGAGGGGGACCTCCCTGAGGTCACCAGGGCGCCCTTGGCCCCCGCCGACCCCAAGCGCGCCCCCGCCGGTCCGCAGCAGCTTATGTGTCCCCCCCCCCCCCCGCTCCCGCCTTTTCTCACATCAACAAGGGGGAGAGGGGATCTCGCGCCCCAAACCCCACAGGCCAGCGAGTCGCTGCACCCCACGCCAAGTTCACCCGATGAGAGTGCCCCCCGCCTGCGTCCTCGGCCCCGATCCCCCATACACGGCCTGCCCCCCGCGGGGCGCCACACGCGCCCCCCCCCCCCCACCCGCGGCCAAACTTACTCGTCCGGGTGTGTGTCCTCGGTCATTTTCCTGTTCACCTAGACGCCTGTCCCGCGGCGGGCAGCCTCGCTCCCTTCATCTTCCTGCGCGCTCGCCCCCCTGCCTCACATCTCCGGAGATGGCCCGCTGCGGCTGGGGAGGGGGGGCGGCCGGAGGCGGAGGGGGCGTCGCAGGAGGCAGAAGGGGAAGCTGCACGGCCGGGCGCCCGGTGGTGGCGGTGGGGGAAGCGGTGCAAAGGCAGAAGCTGCTGCGGGAGGATCGGGGGCGCCGCGGCGCCGAGGGGCGCGGCGGGCGGGGGCTCCGGGGGCTCCGGGGCTCGGGAGCGGGCGGAGGGGGAGAGGCTGGGGCTGGGGACGGCGGGGAGGGAGGAGAGGGAGGAAAAAAAAAAAAAAAAAAAAAAACACCAGCGCGCCGTGGAGCGGCGGAGGCTGGCGAGAGGAGGAGACGGGGGCCGGCCGGCCGCGGGCGGGCGGGGGCTCGGTCCGGGGTCGCCCCCGGAGGGTGGGGGCGGGCGGGCCAATCACGGTTCCGGGGAGCGGTCGGCGGCCGGGGGAGGTGCGCCTGGGAGGCGGTGCAGGGCGCCCCGTCCGAGCCCCATCTCTCCGCTCCACCGATTTTACTCCATATTGGATTCTCACCGCCGCCAACGGGAGGAGGAAGTGGGGCGGAAGCGATGACGTCTTCCCAGCGGCCAGAGGTGGTGGAGTGCAAAAAGCTTCCTACTTGCGATAAAAAAAAAAAGAGAGAGAGAGAGTGAGAGAGAGAGCGGAGGGGAAAAAAAAAAGAGAGAGAGAGAGAGGGGAAAAAAGCAACTTTGTCCCGTCTACTGAGCATGCCCAGCTCTCCCCCCCCCCCACGCCCCCTCGCCCCTCCTTCTGGCTCCCACTCCCGGGGGAGCCGCGGAGCGGAGCTGTTTGCACCGCGTCTTTGTGACTCCGGATCCTCCTCCGGCTCAGCTCCGGGTTTTGAGATGCCCGGGCGGAGGGAGGAGGCGGGAGCTGGGGACTCGCACACATCTGGCTCGCGTTCAGCTCCCTCCCTCCCACCAAACCCCTGGATTAAAAATCAGGGGGTGGGGAGGAGGAGGAGGAGGAAGGGTGGAGACAGAGAGCTCAGGGTAGGGCCGGAGCGAGCGGTGCTCGGGCTCTGGGGATCAGCTACTCCCCCCACCGAGGGGTGGGAGGGTGAGAGCGGCACAGGTGCTTTTGCCAAGGTTCTGAATGGCAGAGGCTTGTCAGTTTCAACGGGAATCTTAGGATGTTTTCTTCTTCTTCTTTTGTCTTGGTAAGGGAACGGGCATAAAAAGAATAAAAGAAGTAGACAAACGCAGTCGACAAACGTTTGCATTTTAGGTAGAAATGACGGGCTTTCTTGGGTTAAAAAGTAAGCCCAAATATATATGTTTTATTTTATGCTCTCTCCTGTTGGTGGAGGATGGCCCTGTCCCAGGCTCTTGAAGGCCATGATTATTGGACCAGATTGCCAGCCCAGTGGCTTTGTTTGGAACAGTGAAATAGGGAGAAAAGAGCTCCTTTTCCTTCCTTTTAAAAAAGTTATATATTTTTATTTATTTCAGAGAGGAAGGGAGAGAAAGAAACATTAATGATGAGAGAGAATCATTGATCGGCTGCCTCCTATACACCCCCTACTGGGGATGGAGCCCACAGTGCAACCGGGGCATGTGCCCTTGATGGGGATCAAACCTGGGATCCTTCAGTGTGCAGGCCGACACTCTATCCACTGGGCTAACCCGGCTAGGGCCCCTTTTCCTTTCCTTTACCTTCAAATTATTTTTCTGATCTTGGCCAGGGACCGTGGCCTAGGTGGGCCCATGCTCTCCAAAGCAGCGCTGTCTGGGCTTTGGGCAGGCCTTGCTTCCTGGACATGCATCCTGCTCAGTTGCACAGGGACCTTTCCTTGTTTTCATGCTCTGCTGTTGGAGTCTTGACATTCTTAAAAAATAAATAAATAAATAATATATATATATAATTGATTTTGATTTTTTACAGAGGAAGGGAGGGGGATAGAGAGCTAGAAACATCGATCAGGTGCCTCCCGCACCCCCCCCCCTCCCAGTGGGGATGTGTCCATAGCCAAGGTACATGCCCTCGATCGGAACTGAACCTGGGACCTCTCACTCCGCAGGCCAATGCTCCATCCACTGAGCCAAACCGGTTTTGGCTTGACATTCTTTATAGAGTTTGAACAAACAGAGGACTCCACATCTTTATTTTGCAGTGGGCCCCACAATTTGCGTAGCTGTTGGGTATTCTTTCTGGGGTTTTGCTGGGGAGCAAGAGACACAGGCCCGACACCTTCCTGCTCTCCAATCACAGTAGACTTTTCCATCCTCCCTAATGTGCTAAGAGATGACACAGATATTTTAACTAAAAAGCAACCTTTGAATGAATGTAAAGTAGATTAAACATACCTCAAATGTAGGTATGTTTAAAGGGTACACACAAATGTAGGTATGTTTAAAGGGTACATCTAAAGGGTACACACACACACACACACACACACACACACATTTGGAGAGCTACAAGCCCTCTAAAGATAGAGTTTCACCTTGAGTCATGGCAAACTTCGTGGTTCACCCTAGCTTAGTGCTGATCACAACCATGAGCTTTCTGGGGATGGATCGGGCTTGACCACCTTTGATGCTGAATGCTGTTGTCTGATGGTGAAAAGGGCCACCAGATGGAAGGAATACCTGGTTTCTGGCTTTCTCCTGGCCGCCTGAAGACTCTGAATGAAGCCTGAAGCAATTCTTAAGTCTCTCTCTCTCTCTCTCTCTCTCTCTCTCTCTCTCTCTCTCTCTCTCTCTCTCTCTTTAATATATTTTATTGATTTTTTTACTACAGAGGTGAAGAGAGAGGGATAGAGAGTTAGAAACATGGATGAGAGAGAACCATCGACCAGCAGCCTCTTGCGCACCCCCTACTGGGGATGTGCCCACAACCAAGGTACATGCCCTTGACCAGAATCAAACCAGGGACCTTTTAGTCTGACGCTCTGTCCACTGAGCCTAACCTGTTTTGGCCCGTTTCTTCATAAGACAGAGATGACAAGGCCAAGGTTGCCTTTCTCAGCGCTTGAGGCCATTGAGAGTTTATGAGAAAATACTGGACAGAGCAAGATCTCATTGGTCTCTAAATTCCCATAGAGTTAAGGTGTCTGTCTGGTTACCACCTGTGGCCATTGTTGCTTTTCTCTTAGAGTTGTTGAATGAGGTCCCACTAGGTCCTTCCTGGACTTCTGGGAATACATATACTTATCCATATCAAAATTATCCACCCAATGGGCACCTCTGGCTCCACCCTCCAGTTTTAGAAAACCCAAATGACACGGTGGCAGGTGAGGTGGTTACTGATTTCTGTAGGCAGCCAAGCAGAATTGGTGTCATCCCTACTCATTTATCCAGCTGCCTGCTAATAGCCGCGAATGACTGGCCCCGTCCTCTAAGCAGCAACCAGAGGAGCTAAGAAAAGCAGCCAAGGTCCAGAACTCACCAGGTCACTGGTTGGCTGTCATGGTGCCACACTCCAGCAGGTTTTCAGGTTCTCCAGGCCTTGGCTTCAATGTCTGTAGTGTCAGGATCATACCCACAAATGGGGCCGCTGGGAAGACTAAAGGGCTATCCAGTGAGGGTACTGAGTTAAGTACACTGCAAATAGGACATTAATGGCAGCTGTATTATAATACTTACCCCCTCCGCTCCGGGTACTTCATGTTCCTCTAAAGAAACCTTCCAGTTTTCCTTTGCCTTGTTCATTACCCAAAGGGGCCTTTTCCTTTTTTTTTTTTTTTTTTTTTTTTAATATATTTTATCGATTTTTAAATCTTTATTTATTTATTTATTTATTTACAGAGAGGAAGGGAGAGAGATAGTTAGAAGCGTCAATCAGCTGCCTCCTGCACACCTCCCATTGGGGATGTGCCCGCAACCAAGCTACATGCCCTTAACCCCTGAATCGAACCTGGGACCTTTCAGTCCCCAGCCGATGCTCCATCCACTGAGCCAAATTAGCCAAGGCCAAAAGGGGCCTTTTGATGGAAGTGTTTCTAGCAGGTCACCTCTTGATCCTCCCATCAATTAATAACGATACCATAAAAGAAATGGCATATTCGGGGAATAACTCATACGTTTTCTGATCCGAATATCAGGATGTTATCCACGTATCCTGGATTGTCACCAGAACAGGGGTTATCACGGATTTGGGGCTTTCATGTAATGACGTTACTGAAAGAGCTAAACAGCCATATATCCCTGACTCTCCCCCACAACCTCCCAAAACGGGGAACAAGGAAGCTCTGAACGCGATCCAATCAAGGGTGTTGACTCAGAGTGAGAAAGTACAGCTTCCAAAGTAATGTGGATCTATTCACAACTTCACGTAAACCTAGCGGAGCCCCCAGCACGCCTCCCCTGTCCCCTAACCCCCTACCCCCTGCCCCCTACCCCGCCGGCCTCTCCATCCCGAGTCCCGGGCGGGCGGGGCAGCGCCCCCACCCCGGGCCTGCCCGCCGGCCGCCCGGAAAACGCGGAGCGCGGAGCCGGAGCGACCCTCGGCGGCCCGGGACGGGCATGCTCAGTAGACCCACCGGGCTTGTTTCACTCGGAAGCCGGTCAAGGCCCCCCCCCCCCCCCCCGCCCCCTCCCGCCCCGCACGGGAGTCGGGAGAATCGGACATTTTAATCCTTCTCGGCAATCTGCTCTCTTTCCATCTCTTCTCTGCGTCCTCCCACTTCTCGCCCTTCGGGGTCTGGAAGGGCCGGGAGTGTAGATCTCCCCGGGGTGGGGGTGGGGGTGGGGGTGGCGGGGTGGGCTCCGACACATCACTCAGCCTCCCCCCCCCCCCGAACCCGGGACCAGAACGGGGAGGGGGGGGGCGCAGGGGGGCAGAGACGCGGGGTGATTTGTAGAGGACTCTCCTATATCCGAAGGGGTGTGTGTGTGTGTGTGTGTGGCCGGATCCCCCGGGACCCCCACCCTGACGCGGCACCCCTCGCTCCCCGCCCGGCGAGGCGCGCGCAGCTGCGCCCGGGCCTGTCCTCATCTCACCCCCTCGCCGCTGCCCCTGCGGAATTTCTCAATGGCTGGCGCGGGGAGGACACTTCCGACGGGGGCGGGAGCGGGTGCCAGTAGCGCCCAGTTTATCCGTTCCTTCCGGTCTGCCCGCAGCCCGGCCCCGCGCGCCTCGGCGCCCCGGGGCCTTTATCACTGTTTCAGTGAGCGGTGCTGGGTGCCAGGGTGTGCCAAGCGAGTTTTGCAGCCCAGCTGCCCCCAGACCTGCAGGCCGGAATGGAAACTCTAGCTCTCTCGTAATGAAGGGGATGATGCAAACTTAGTAACTGACCCGGCGGCCGCGGAGGGTGCCCTCCCCCGCCCGGCGGGCGCGCGGCGGCCCAGGCCGGGCATGAATGGCCGCAGCCCGATTGCACAATCGGCCGCCGGGTATAAATAGCCGCGGGCGGGCCGCTGACCCGCTCCCTCTGCTCGTATGGTTATCATCGCGCAAAGGCTCCAGCCCCGAAGCAGGTCACTCCCAGGTCATTTTCCCTTTCAGCTGCAATGCTGGGATTTTTTTTTTTTTAATTGCAGAGATGAAAGACTCTTATCCCTGCCTCCCTCCCTCCTCCTCCCTGGAGTTAATTTATTATGAATGAACCGCCAGCCTCGCGGCTTCCTGAGGTACTTTCGCTCCACGCCAGGTACGGGGGAGACTCAATGTCAAAGGCAGCGGTCCGCCCCTGCTTGTACGTGTGCACGC